ATGCCACGTGCATAGGTATTACGGTAAAACGGAAAAAGGAAAAACCTGTATCTGAGCGTGGACATGGACATCAAGGAAAGGAAGGAAGGATTAGATTCCCATTCAGCTTTAAACTTAATGGAAAGGGCAAGATTTGTGTATCGTTCCAGTCACGTTTGTGCCTTTTTTTTGTTACATATATATATATATAATATATAATATATATATATATATATATATATATATATATATATATATATATAACAGTATATATATATATATATATATATATATATATATATATATATATATATATAATGTATATAAACAATGAAATCACGAAACATGTGATTTTTAAATCATTTACCAAATTGCGGCAGGGCTGGACTCGACCCTACGAACCTTGTAGCGCCTCCACATACAGCACAATGTACGCATCGCCTTACCACTTACGCCACTGATCTTACCATTGGCGTAAGTGGTAAGGCGATGCATGCATTGTGCTGTCTCTGGAGGCGGTACAAGGTTCGTAGGGTCGAGTCCTGCCCTGCCGCAGTTTGGTAAATGATATATATATATAAATTTAGTATGAAAGAAATAATACATCTTATGGACAAATGGGGTTGAGGCCGGGTCACCATTTGGAAAAAAACACGAGGGCGTTCATGCAAGTGTGAGGAAATCGCAACCTATATTTCATTTTGTGACATACGAAATATATACGTAAAAATAAGTTGACATCTTGATCCAAGAAAACGGACTTTAAATTTAATATAAATTTCTGTGCGCACTACGGGAGTATAATTTCTAAACAGAACACGACCATGATTTCATTCTACGAAATATATGATGTAGTTAAGTCTTGAAAAAACATTTTTATCCGAAGATAAACCAGATTACAGTAGGATTTTAGGACCTGATCATAGCAGAAATTGGGACCCGATCATAGTGAAAAAAAGTCCACCACAACTAATGTTAAGGATATATGCAAATTTAATACCTAAAGGTACTGAATGAGGCATGATTTACTCTGCAGCCAATGAATGAGATGCTGAATTAAAAATGGGGATAAAACTTACACACACACACACACAACACACAACAGGCCTAGTGTCTAATCGACATGTGCCTATGACAAAATGGTAACTCACACACACACGACTACTCCGACCCATAAAAAGTCAACAACAGCAACACCATATGAGGATAAAACCAGAGAGAGAGAGAGAGAGAATAACAGCAGGTATGGATGACTCTGGAAGCAGAGTATAATTTTAGTACAATGTTTGGTCCAAGGTTGGGCTTAACCAAGTATTTAAGAATTAGTGAATTCACCATCTTGTAAGGCAAATAAGCACCATGAGGTCATGCTGGAAGAAAGACAAGTGACACATAAGGGCACTGCGAGAGTAGATCCCACATGAGGTCATATTTTGGGAGATCAAGTCTGATAAGGTCAGGAATTGGTAGGAGCAAGGGGTAGAGGCAAGGTTTATTATGGTTATTATATGAATCATTGACAATAGATTCAATCAACATATACATTCCGCTGTTTGTGCAACAATTTTGGAGACAAGAAGCACTGCCGCTTCTGAAATTTTGCTTCCGGGCCTGTCGTTCTTTTGGTATAAAAAGTATTCTATTTACCTGTCTGTGTCGCTGAAATGAATAATGTGATGAATTACACAAGTCTTGTTGATTTTATTCCTTATGCAAGAATATTTATGTTTCTGAAGGAATATCTGAAGGTCTCTACTGGTCTTCCTGACATAGAATTTATTGCAGCCACTACACGGTATTCTGTATACGACTTTTGTACAAATAATTATAAATTTAGTTCCTATGTTGATTCCTTTAATAGTTTTGGAAGTAAGGACTGCTATATTCATGTCGGTTTTTCGGAGAGTCGAGGCAATGGTGATAGCAGTCTTCCCAGTGCTGTAAACCAGTCATTTATCAATGCTGGAATTTTTTGGTATGCTGTGAAAGAGGAAGGCTTTCTGTGTACATGAGTGGATGATGTGCATTACGAATTTTAAGTTGAACACCTACTTAATCTATTATTTTTCTACTAAAAGGTATTCATCACTGCAAGTTCGGAATGCTCGGATGAAAAAACCTAAGACAACTCTCCTCTTGGTTTTGAAGAAATGGTGAGAAAAGTAGTATTTCAAGTCATTCTTATTTCTGGGTTTTCTATATACCATGTATTTAAATGTATCTCCATCCTTGACGAATAAGATATGCAAATAGGGTAAGGATCCGTCTCTCTCGTGTGAATTGCATGAAAGGCTGAACCATATTAAGTCAGTCTCTGAAGTGACTGAAGCTGAAACACCTAGGAACAATCACATGGATGTCATCCACAGAAAACCCTCCACTAAGAATGACTTAAACATTATCTTTCTTCCCATCATGACGTCAAAACCAAGACCACCATCATTATGATGCTGATTTTCCGGAAAGCCGACATGAAATATGAAAGTCTTTATTACCAAGACTATCAGAAAGTTCACAAGAAGCCTAAACCCAGAACTATTTGCACAGCAAGTATATACAGCATAGGTGTGATGGACGAGATAAATTCTTTATCGGGGAGACCGGCAGAGATTTTCAGATACTTTCAGGAACATAAATATGCCTTCAGGAGAGACAAAATCCAACAATGCTTCCGGAGTTCATCTCAGTTTTCAGTCTCACGTCATGGACTGGGGAAGAGTACAGCTGTTACACCACAAGAACGACAGGACTAGACTCAGAATTTTAGAAGCAACTATGATCTACCTCACCAAAGCCATTGAGCAATACAGTGAAATGTATATATTGTGGACATTTTGTCCACTGTCCATTATCCATATAATAATCATAATAACCTTGTTACCTTATCCGTTTCCCTTGCTCGCCCCAATTCTTGACTTTACCAGATTTCATGTCTCAGATTTTGACCTCATGTGTGATCTGCTCTTGCAATGACCTCGAACCTGACTTCATGGCGCTTATTTGCCTTATAAGGCTGTGTATTTGTTTATTCCTGTGTACTTGTTAAAACCAAGTTGTGTGTGAACTGTTGTATTAAAAGGATCCTCTACTACCAGTGTCTTTATTCCCACTTGTCAGTTTTTGCAATTGTCTGCCAACAGCCAGAAAAGCTGTTAGCAGACAACTGCAGACAATTGTTTTATGTGGACATCAGCATAGTTCTGGGTAATGTTCATGGATTTGTATGTTAATGCATAAAATATTTTATAACACTTAAATACCGGTCAGTGGTACACCTGGTATCATACTCATTTCACATATTGAATATTCGAGTTTCGATCCCCGTCACGGGTGAAAATGTTGGGCATGTTTCCTTACTCCTGCTGCCCCTGTTCACCTGGCAGTAAGTAGGTACCTGGGTTTTAATTGACTGTTGTAGGTCACATCCTGTGGATGGAAGTGTATCTTAGATAGAGCTGGGCTTTGAAATGTGCTGGGGTAAGATAACAGCTCTTAGCCTGTAAAATTGATTCGTGTAAAAAGTAAGTATTAGTTTATTTTAATTTCAAGTGTTGTAGACTGTCAAGGTATGTTTATCTTGTATTTTCATGGCACTTGATCAACATCATGTTCAACAACATTCATACCATATACACACACTCCACAATAAGAATGATGTTTTGTAAATACTTTGTAGTAGTATGTATGTTCATTGATGTAGTGTCTCAATCAACACAGTTTAGTATATGCATATTATGGAAAATAAAAAATATGTATCAATGAAAGAAGAAGGAAACAAGACAATATTAGTAAGTTAGTTCATTTTAACAATGTGATTTTTTTTGGTTTCTGAATGTGAGAGTGTGGGTTTTACATAATCTACCTCTCTCTCTCTCTCTCTCTCTCTCTCTCTCTCTCTCTCTCTCTCCTCTCTCTCTCTCTCTCTCTCTCTCTCTCCTCTCTCTCTCTCTCCTTCTCTCTCTCTCTCTCTTCTTTATCTATCTCGCTCGCTCTCTCGCTAGCTTGCTAGTGAAGATAGCTGACCACTACCTTTTCTTCCGGGTAAACATATCAAACTGCTCCGGTAGTAAGGTATTGTGCCAGGGTTAAATGTTACTAATACGTTCTCCTCAGTGGCAGGACCCTGGATGAGGCAACTATAAAGGATTTGTTGAGTATGTAGCAGTGTGTATATTAGCCCCTGTATCGCATCTTTCATGGATGGTTCAATGAATTGTGGACATTTTCTTTCAAGTTTATGTACTTTATATCAATGGAAATAACATGGTTTGATTGAAACAGTAATTGGTTTACTGTACGTATTTTTATGGTATATAATTTATTTACTTCAACCTTTTACTGGTTTAAATCTCGCATGTTTTAAAATGTCCCTTAGACGTTTATTAATGAAAGGTGATAATTATGCTAAATCCTGGTAATATGTAGCAAACCTGATGATTTCGGAACAAATAATTATGGCCCCCTCACATTTTAACAGATCTAAGTAGCCAAAGTAGGATAAATGAGGTTGATATGGAGGTCTGTGCATGTGTACGTAATCAACCAAAGAATGTAACAATTGCAACAACGAGGAAACACTTTTCCCCTAGGTAAAAGAACCAGATCACACTTGAGAAGCGAGAGGATGTCCAGATACTCACAAGCTTTGTAGTGGAAAGCAACTCTGCCTTATATATGCAGAAAACAAATTAAGAATGGAGGAACACTGCGGCAGGTCTACTAGCCCATACAAGGCAGGTCCTTCAAAAGCTAATGTGGGCTCACCTATTTATAAGTGACTGAAAGATGAACAGCAGGAATGAGATAAAGAGATTCAAAGCACACCTAGACCCCTCGACTATGCATCTTTCGATACTGTACATTCAGTTTACAAATTGTTTCCAAATTTAATGCTTCGGTTCTACAAATCTCTTCAAGTTGGATTCATCTCCCCTGGATCATGGCCATTACCTTCAACCAAATGAAATGAAAATTCCTTTGAACAAAAATAATTCATCAGAGAAACCAAAAAAATAGCTTACGGGCGCATGGGAATTGTGTGTCCCATTCTGGTTGACTTCCGTTGCTGCCCGGTAGACAGGTGACCTCTCCTGCAGGTGACTCGGTACCGTCCACCTTTTTCGCCATCATGAGGTCTCCGACACAGTTGTAGGGGAAGGTGGTGTTCGGTGCTCGACTCAGGGGCGCCACAGACCCATCCGGCAGGTTGAGAATGTTCATAGGAGGGCACGCCAAAGCTGTATATCCAAACAGATGATATACCAAACAATAATTACTACTTACGTGTTCAAATTCACAAATATATAAAGTCCCCTGTAAATGAATTAACATCATGATGAAATAAAAACGAAAATTTTTAAGTTCATTAGTTTTTTTTATAACATTACTCAGTGCTATGATCCTGTGCTCTATATTACAGCTCTTCTAGACGAGCTAAACGAATAATTTTTCTGAAGAATGTGGCTAGTTTCTTGTACTCCCCAGATGCAAGTTGTGCGTGGTAGAACGAACACATGAATATACAGTATCTACGGAACAAATATGGAAAATTTTATAAACGGTAAAGTTTTACTTATCTAAAAAGATTTTTTCAGAGTCAGCAACTGACTTCAAAAAGAAAAACTCACCTGCGTTCAGAGATTTAAACTGACTAAATCTTAACGGCTTGACAAAGCTTCTGGAGAGCGAAATGTTGCTACAATAAAATGTCACATTAGTTTCACTTGTGTCCTTTTACTTTACATATTGTCGGTAATTCTGCCAACATTATTACATTATTTAGTTAATGAATGGATATCAGCATCACAGTTTATTTAATGAATTTGGAAGATTCACTTAATATCGCATTCATCTAAATTTTTTTTTAATATTTTAGTATATAGGCAATTTTGTACCACCACAAAATAAATTTATTGACTAGTATCTTGTCTGTGAGATGCATCAGCCATTAAATATTGAAGCCGTTCACAAGAGGTATTCTCACATATGTTTAATGTGATTTATTTGGGATAAAATTTCACAGCATTTTACACGTACAAATGATAACTTGACACTTGTAAAACAACCATGTCTCTATTTTCATTAGGATACACTTTTCTGAATTGGTGCCGATCAGAAGAGAGTTACTTTTTCTGAACGAAATTTCAGAAAAATGGCAATATAACATGCACCAGAGGACACCCATACATAGTAATAGTTGCACGAAGCAGTTTTCTGGTACAATAAACTAGCCATAAAAATTTGAAGCTGATCAGATGAGGTATAATAAGTTATAAACTAAAATTTGGAAAAGGAAAAAAGAACGAAAAATTCAGACATTCACTTAAAGTTCACCATCAGGGATACCTAATTAAGAGCTTCAAAACGTCACAACAACGTCAGCTTTTTATACGTCTCAGTTTTTGTTTCACGGTTCTACTTTTTTTTAATTCTTTGCTGTCCAGTAAGATAAAAATACCTGAATGTGCAATACTTACGAAAGTCCTAGAAAAACAGAATAATGTAGCTAGAATTTTGTTAAGTTGAGGAAGGAAGAAGGAGAGTTAAGGATGGAATATGAAAAGAGGGATGGGTCAGGGTGAGGAGAGTGGGTAATATAGGTGAGTGGCCCAACCACTTTGGTGTATTTTAATGAAGGTGTGTGTATTGTGTTCTGCACAATACTCAGATGACTGGGTATAACAACACTACCTATCTTATGCATACATGGATGTCAACGAATTAGTGGAGAGTGCATTTCTGCTATTGCCTTTTTTTAGCGCACATGGCAAGTTGTTTCGGCTTGGTGTAAGGCGCTTGCTGGAGCTGATGGTCTGTTGATCTGATTCTGAGGCGGTGTCCTGCTGTAGGTGGTTTTTAAATGTTACATGGTTATATGTAAAGTGTAATCAGTAAGGATGGTTTTATCCGTCTTAACCATGGATTGTTTCTGGTCTTACCCATTTTTTTCATATCTTATGAAAGTTCAATTTGATATAATTTTTTCGTATAAAACTGGCTAGTTGACACCTGCACAGTCAAGATTCAATAAAAGAAAAAACTTCCAATTAAGAAGAGGCACGAGTGGCGAAATGTTCTATAAGTAAATGTCAATAACTATACGCAAGTGCCCTTTTTATATTCTGTCGGTGTCATCATACCATTCATAATTAGTATCATAATCATAAGTAAACGATAAACCCACAAGGGTCAACAGCACTGCAGGGTAGGATGTGCTAAAGGTTTAATTAATATGCTTGATAGAAGATAAGCGAAGATGCAGAGTATAACAGAGTAGAGTTAGTAAGGGCTGTATGAAGTGCTAAAGGAATTGTAATCAATGTTTGTGAAATAAATTTGTTGTCAAAAAAAGCCAAAGAGGAATTCTGTGTCAATGGTTGGACTGTCAGCGAGGAGGGAAGAGTGGTGTTAGAGTGGTGACGACGTTGGAGGTTAATCCTGCGTGCTCGCTGGTAGACACGACAGTCTAATAGAATATGGCAACTTAAATTGGAATGTGACAATTTTCAAAGGGTGGCAGGGCGCCTCTCCATGAGATAGCAATGAGTGAGACGTCTGTGCCCAATGCGGAGATGGGAAAGCGTAGTCTCCCAACCAGGACATCAATGATAAGAAGACCAGAATTGTAAACACTGCTTGATATATTATAATTTTATATGAATCAACTTAGACCAACGTTGCTGCCAACGGTTGCGATAGTGGACAGAGATTACAGCAAAATAATCTATATGAAATGTGACGGTCAAGTACTACTGACCGCACCACAGAGTCTGCGTACTAATTGCACTGAACATTTACATGATCAAGGAGCCAGCAGAAAACGATTTCTTTGCTTTTGCTAGAAATGCAGCACAACCGAAGAAGTGTACGATGAACTAGGGGATGAGGCTAATCAAAATTTTTGATAGCCTGCAAAGCACTAAAGGTGTATAAAACTAGCACAGATGCTGAGGTAGGCTTGGATGCAATGCGCATAATCGCTACATAAACTGCAAACAGTTTAACTGTGAAAATGCTTGTTGAGTCTAATATATGACCTCACACAACACTGTCCGGGAACAGTGATGCAAACCCGACACCATCTGAGGATTCAGAACCATCAGTGTAGCGGCATGAGAATGAGACCGGAAGTGGTTAAGGAAAAGAGATCAAGAAGTAGCTGTAGGTATTTGAGTTTTGCGCAAGGCAGTAGGGAAGAAGAGACTCGAACTGTCGTCAACTTCCAAGAGGTGATGAGAAAACTAAGATGTTAGACGAACATATAACGGGGACAATTAAAGAGAAGCCAAAAGCGAGCGAATACAAACAAAAAGGGGCGGGGTAAACAGGGGCGGTGATCAAAAATGAACCTCTACGAACCTTCTTTACCATCCACTATGTAGAAGGACGTGAAGGTCGGAATATCGGAGGCAATGGACTTCACGCCGATAATTCAAAGATGAAATATTCGCCTCTGCAAATAGGCTCTCGATAAGGGACGAAAGAAAAACACCTAGACACAAACGTAATTCCTGATGATGAATGAGTTCAAGTTTAGAAAGAGTTACGGGAAAGGTCAGAAATTATATCTGGTCGCCATAATCTAGTTTCGATGAAGTTAGGGCTGATGAAGTCGAAGAAGTTCACGATCCGCCCCCCCCCCCCTCAAGAATGATACTTGAAGGTTTCAAGGAGATTCAGCGGTAATTGTAAGTTGCTTTCAAGAGTAATGGAGTTTCCCAACAACCGGCGATCAAACAGAAGACCGAGAAATTTGACCGTATCACGTTCGTGCAGTACGTTTCAGTCGTACTGCACGAGCCCACAAGGCACGCGTTTCTGAGAGTGCCTACTCGAGGTATGAGGGATTGTATGTGAAGCCGCGATTAAAACCGATGTCAAAAAGAGTTGTAATAGGCCATTAGGGGAGGATAAAGGAGAAGGCTCGCCACTAAAAATGGTTTGACGCAAGTAAAGGGACCCAATTCGCCCATTCAGACTGCCAATGTGGCCTACGAGGAGAGCGAGAAGATGAATGGGAAGCACGGAAGATAGGAAAATGATCGCTGTTATGTAAATCTTGGAGCACAGACCAAGCAAAGTAGAATGCATTGAAGAGGATCAAATTGAGAGATCTATGTAAGAAAGAGTTTGAGTGTGAGGGTCAAAATAGGTGATAGTATCTGTATTTAAAACATGGTGGATAAGATAAGTGAGAAGGCCTCTACCTACTGATCGCCACGACCAGCTGTGGAAGTCTCCATAGGAATCGAAGTTGGGAGACTGCCATGGCATAAGAGAAGCTTTCTTCCACTTTGAGAGCGAATTTCTCATTTTTTAAGAAAACCTGGCAACGATGGGAATAAGCCGGGTGACCTTCATTGCAATTAAGCCAAGAGGGAGGATGGCTTCAAGATGGATCGGTATTGTCCGAAGCACCACAGACCGGGAATTCTGACATGAACATGCAATATTTTTCTAGGTGGCTGAAGCTCCAGCTATTTCTACATTGTTGTGGTGTAGGAATCAATTCTCATACTTATAAAGGGAGTCCTGCAATATGAACAGAAGATGGGAGTTCATGGCATTCAAAAGTTAACTGAGCTATGCTGCAAGGAGGGAGGTCTTGGAGCTCAAGCTGCCCCACAAAGTCAGCATCACATGTCAGGAAATCACGTTGAATAATTGTATGTAGAAGAACTATGGTTCCACTTGAAGAATTGAAAGAAACGTATTTATGAATCGTAACAGGAATATTGTCAATGGAGTTATGAATGGAAAGATTGTAAGCTTGTCCAGCATTTTGCACCATGATGTTGTATGTACCACTCTTAAGAGAATGAAATTAAATATTTTGACCAACATTGCATAGAAGTACCTTGCTGATACTATGACCTGAAAATCTGAACTTAGTGTATTATGTACCGTGAAATGTAGAATGTAAGAGAAGTGTCATGTCGGTCGTTTCTGGGAAGAGAGAGGTAACCAAGACAGTGTGGTCGTTTAGGTGGGGGACCGGAGGTGGGCCGTCCTAAGATGGGTGGGTGATCAAAGTGGTGAGGTCAGATGTATCAAAAAAAAAAAAAAAAAAACAGGCGGAACCTCGGTATCGGACGTGGGCAACGAAATATTATCTGCAGAAAGTACTGGTGTTTTAGAGAGGTGCGAAGATTGGTCTGACAATGATGCAGGGTGGTGAGGGGAAGCCGCATGAGAAAGTAGTTCTAGAAGAGGATTTTCATGGATATGGGAGACCTTG